CTATGATAGTCACAATTCTAAAAACAAGAATTATCATACTCCACCATAAGAGTATACACACTTGGAATTCACTAACTCCAAGAATTTTTACCTCGACCAATTCATGTCGAAAAACTACTAATAAGTTATGGTGCAACTTCCAATGTTGACTTTCTAGGAAGTTCATTAGCCATCGACATCAATTCCACCACACACCTTGCATCAACTGTCAACCAATGCCCATGTGTAAATGTGGACATGCTATCTTTTCATGCATCCTTTTCCATGGCAACTCAATTGGTAGCTATCATGCCATGAGGATATATATCTTTCTTTACAAAGCAAATTCATCGTCTTCATTTTCAAAGACGACTACATTAGTAGCATCACTTTTGGAGCCATTAGCCGAATTAGCTCCACCGTTTTTGCAATCCTTCTTTAGATGTCCAAGTTGCCCACATCCCCAGCATATAATTTTCCTTTTGGAGCCTTTATACTTCTTCCTATTTCCACAAACCGACAATGCTCCACTTTCAGAAGATTTGTTCTCTCTATTTTTCAGCCTTCTTTCTTCCGAAATCAGCTTACTTGTCACTTCTGAAAAATTCACATTCTCTTTCCCGTACATTAAAACGGTTTGCATGTGCTCATAGGAAGATGGAAGAGACCAAATAAGTCTCAATGCTTTATCTTCATCATCAATCTCCACTCCAATAGATTCCAGTTCAGAAACAATCCCATTGAGTGCACTAAGGTGGTTAGAAATTTCTGTACCTTCTTCTATTTGTAATTTGTGAAATTTCTCCTTTAAATATAACCTATTTAAAAGACTTTTAGCTTGGTACATTTCCTCAAGCTTTTCTCAAAGCTCCTTTGTTGATGACCATCTAACAACAGTAGCAAGAACATTTTTGGCTAGACAGAGACGAATCTGACTTGCTACTCTCATGTCTAACTCGTCCCATTCTTCTTCTCTCATCTTGGATTTTCCCTTGTCTCCAATGCTGTCTCTAGGTTTATCTGGTTCCTTTCCTTCGGACAAAGAAGCTGGCTTTCCCTTTAAGGCCTTATACAATCCAGACTGGATTAGTATATCCTTGACTTGTATTTGCCACAACCCAAAATTAATTCTCCCATCAAATTTCTCAATATCAAATCTGAAACTCATTTTTGCTCAACAATGCTACAGTGATCTCACACGTGAATAATGAGTGAACAATTGTGTCTACAAAATGCACTAAGAAAGTTTCCAGGAAAGATTGAGGGGACACAAATGGTACCGCTTAAGTCCCAACCTCCTTAGGCGATTATAGTCTTTGTGACAAAACTTTCTTGGTTGCACTTACTTACACAATACCACACTCAATAAACACAATAACGTATTTAAAGGACCTCCAGTTGGACCACAACAATTTCTAAAAAATCTTTTCTGATGTAGAAGATCGGACAAAGCCGCAACCACAGAGCATACTAAGAATTTTAAAGAAATTCCTACACCGCCTTAAAGTTTATCTTTTACCAAATCATTGACTCCGATACCAATTGTTGGGAAAATAAACCCCTTGTAATCCAACAATCCCTTTAGATCACAACATTAACAAAAATACTTGAAAAATAAAAGAGAGAAAAACACAATAATTTAACGTGGAAAACTCCCAAATGGAGAAAAATCACAGGCGTTGTCAAAAGACAACCAAGAGAAAAAAATATTTACTATGTGGAAAATTATTACAACCACACTACAAAATATTTAACTCTCACACATGCCCAAAATCTAAAGTACACCCCAAGAGAATTTCCCTTTAAATTCTCTACTAGTATAGTTAATAGCTTTCTAGTACACCACTTGTATTTTGGTGATTGACATACATCTAACCAAATGGAAATGTTCTATTTATAGGCTAAGAATTTTTCCATCCTTTGTTAATTTCCAATGTGGGATTTGGCCAATTTTTGCCAAAAACTAACAAATCTCCACCTTGGCAAAAATTCCATACAATTATTCACCATAAAAGCAACAGCTACCTCAATAACACCATCAGCTATGATAGTCACAATTCTAAAAACAAGAATTATCATACTCCACCATAAGAGTATACACACTTGGAATTCACTAACTCCAAGAATTTTTACCTCGACCAATTCATGTCGAAAAACTGCTAATAAGTTATGGTGCAACTTCCAATGTTGACTTTCTAGGAAGTTCATTAGCCATCGACATCAATTCCACCACACACCTTGCATCAACTGTCAACCAATGCCCATGTGTAAATGTGGACATGCTATCTTTTCATACATCCTTTTCCATGGCAACTCAATTGGTAGCTATCATGCCATGAGGATATATATCTTTCTTTACAAAGCAAATTCATCGTCTTCATTTTCATAGACGACTACATTAGTAGCATCACTTTTGGAGCCATTAGCCGAATTAGCTCCACCGTTTTTGCAATCCTTCTTTAGATGTCCAGGTTGCCCACATCCCCAGCAGATAATTTTCCTTTTGGAGCCTTTATACTTCTTCATATTTCCACAAACCGACAATGCTCCACTTTCAGAAGATTTGTTCTCTCCATTTTTCAGCCTTCTTTATTCCGAAATCAGCTTACTTGTCATTTCTGAAAAATTCTCATTCTCTTTCTCGTACATTAAAACGGTTTGCATGTGCTCATAGGAAGATGGAAGAGACCAAATAAGTCTCAATGCTTTATCTTCATCATCAATCTCCACTCCAATAGATTCCAGTTCAGAAACAATCCCATTAAGTGCACTAAGTTGGTCAGAAATTTATGTACCTTCTTCCATTTGCAATTTGTGAAATTTCTCCTTCAAATATAACCTATTTGAAAGACTTTTAGCTTGGTACATTTCCTCAAGCTTTTCCCAAAGCTCCTTTGTTGATGACCATCTAGCAACATTAGCAAGAACATTTTTGGCTAGACAGAGACGAATCTGACTTGCTGCTCTCATGTCTAACTCCTCCCATTCTTCTTCACTCATATTGGATTTTCCCTTGTCTCCACTGTTGTCACTAGGTTTATATGGTTCCTTTCCTTCGGACAAATAAGCTGGCTTTCCCTTTAAGGCCTTATACAATCCAGATTGGATTAGTATATCCTTGACTTGTACTTGCCACAACCCAAAATTAATTCTCCCATCAAATTTCTCAATATCAAATCTGAAACTCATTTTTGCTCAACAATGCTACAGTGATCTCACACGTGAATAATGAGTGAACAATTGTCTCTACAAAATGCACTAAGAAAGTTTCCAGGAAAGATCGGGGGGACACAAATGGTACCGTTTAAGTCCCAACCTCCTTAGGCGATTATAGCCTTTGTGACAAAACTTTCTTGGCTGCACTTACTTACACAATACCACACTCAATAAACACAATAACGTATTTAAAGGACCTCCAGTTGGACCACAACAATTTCTAAAAAATCTTTTATGATGTAGAAGATCGGACAAAGCCGCAACCACATAGCATACTAAGAATTTTAAAGAAATTCCTACACCGCCTTAAAGTTTATCTTTTACCAAACCATTGACTCCGATACCAATTGTTGGGAAAATAGACCCCTTGTAATCGAACAATCCCTTTAGATCACAACATTAACAAAAATACTTGAAAAATAAAATAGAGAAAAACACAATAATTTAACGTGAAAAACTCCCAAATGGAGAAAAACCACAGGCGTTGTCAAAAGACAACCAAGAGAAAAAACTATTTACTATGTGGAAAATCATTACAACCACACTACAAAATATTTAACTCTCACACATTGCCCAAAAGCTAAAGTACACCACAAGAAAATTTCTCATTAAATTCACTACTAGTATATTTAATAGTTTTTTAGTACACCACTTGTATTTTGGTGATTGCATACATTTAACCAAAGGGAAATGTTCTATTTATAGGCTAAGAATTTTTCCATCATTTGTTAATTTCCAATGTGAGATTTGGCCAATTTTTGCCAAAAACTAACGCAATAACTATTTTATAATTATCCTAGATTATTTAAAAAATATTAATTGATTTTAGTTATATAATTATTACTATAATATCTGTGAATATGCAGATTCTACTGAGATTTGAGAGTATTCTAAATATTATATTTTAAAAGCTATAACTTAATATATTTACGTGTGAATATAAGTTTGATATTAATATAAGATGCAACAGAAAAATATCTAAAATATTCAATAAACACTGAAATTATATTTTATATTTATTTTGAAATAATCTTTTATTGTAATATAAATTATTGAAACGTATAAATATTAATAAATATCTTAGCTTAGGAGTATTATTTAAAAATATAAATATGATATTATTATAATAGTTAAAAAAGTTATTCTAAACTGAAATTAATGAATAATATAACATTAACTGAAAAAACTAATTTGAGGTAACATGTTCACCTAATAGATTGTTATTTAACCCGACTCATTGCATTTCAATTATTATAAAAAAAATAATTTCATTCATTTAATTAACACATATAATTTTTTATAATTATTTCAAAGGGTAAAGTATATTAAAATTTACTAAACTATATTTAAATGATAGTTTGGTTATTAAATTTTTAAATATTATAAAATAATTATTAAATCTGTCAAACTATTATAAAATAACTTTTAGTTATCACATTATTATAAAAAATATAAAATTTTATTAAACTCTTTTAATATGATACTTAAATTTATCAAAATTTTACAATTATTATAATGTTGTAGCGATTATTTTAAAATAGATAGATGAATTTAATGGTTATTTTATAACTTTTAAAAGTTAAATGAACAAAATAATCATTTAAAGATAGTTTAGGGACATATTATGTCATTTAACCTATTTAAAAGTAAAGGATCAAAATATAATTTAATGTCTGATACAAATACTTGCACAGTGATTTGACCAGAAACCCACCAACAAGAAAACGACAGGCCATCAAGCGGGACACGTTTCAGCATTCCAATAGCCTTAGTCATCACCTACCCGGCTACCCCCAACTCTCTGATAAAGTATCAACCACTCAAATGGTCTAAAGGCAACCATGCCCTCTCTGTCTCTCCTTTTTTCTTCCTCTCATTTGTTCATCCTTTCTAAAACTCTAGCAAAAAGGACCATCTTTTCTTCTCTATCCGTCATGTCAATCAACCTCAATGCCCATGCATTTGCTGGTAACCCTATAAGATCCAAAACCCCCAAACCCCACGACCCACTTTCCCATTCTTCAGTTTTTCAGTCCCTCAAAACCCATCTCCTCCAAAACCCAGAAAACAGCTCTCCTCCTCCAAGTTCCCCTCTTTTCAAGGTCCTTCCCTTTAGAAAGGGCAGTCCTTTGGCTTCTTCGTCTATTACAGGGGACGATGATGTGCCTTGCTGGCATCTGGGTTGGATCAGTTTGCCTGATTGCAAAGCTTTTCTGGTGAAATGTGGGGTCGATTTGACTGAGGATTCTTTGGTTTATTTGGGAACAAACGCTGAGGAGGATGTTGTTTTCTGGGCTGTTGATGTTTCTGAGGAAGACGGTTTGGTTCCTGAATTAGGTGCCAAACAGCTTTGCTTTGTGGAGCTTAGGACACTGATGGTGGCTACTGATTGGGCAGATTCTTCAGCTATGGGCGAATTGGCCATTGCTGGTCATGTAAGTGGGAAAAAGAACCAGCGATTTTAGCTTCATAATTTGTTCATTTTATGTGTTTTTAATTCTTGTTGTTACATGTTTGTTGCATTTGATCAGGCTCGAGCATTGCTCGAGTGGCATAGCCTATCACGATTTTGTGGACATTGTGGAGAGAAAACAGTCCCCAAGGAAGCTGGGAGAAGGAAACAATGCTCCAGTGAGTTATGCAAAAAGAGGATTTACCCTCGTGTCGATCCGGTAAAAGCATTTCTCCTTTATGTTCTATAATTGATGTTTGAAGTTTCGATATGTTAATGCAATGGATTTGTAGGGTGTCTTTTGGTTACCTTTAACTCATGTTTCTTGAAAATATAGGTTGTCATCATGTTGGTCATCGATAGAGAAAATGATCGTGCTCTTTTCAGTAGACAGTCCCGATTCGTACCTCGAATGTGGAGTTGTTTAGCTGGATTTATAGAGGTAACTATCTTAGGCAGCTTTTAAGCTTATATCAAGTTTTAGCTGTTATTTGTAGGATTAGACAATATTGGAAGTATGAGAAAGGAAACGGACTAGCCTTTATTTTTCTTATATCCTCTTGAAAAATCGATGCTTTTTTGGCGATTTCATTGTTGAATATTTTCTTTTGCCCTTAGCCAGGGGAAAGCTTAGAGGAAGCAGTGAGGAGAGAGACGTATGAAGAGACTGGCATTGAAGTCGGAGAAGTTGTCTATCATAGTTCTCAGCCATGGCCAGGTAACATTCTTCAAGCATTGTTTCATGAATAACATGTTCGGCTATTTTGTGCTTTGGTTTATATGCGATTTGCATTTCAGTTGGTCCGAGTAGCATACCGTGCCAATTGATGGTGGGGTTCTTTGCGTACGCCAAATCTCTTGAAATAACCGTGGATAAGGAAGAACTAGAAGGTACTTGAACGTGCACAAATGTATTTTCATTTACAATTTTCGTTTCCAGGTTGCTTTATTTTTTGAGAACATAATTTCTTTGCTATGGAATTCTATTATTTTTCTTCAATCCTGGAAATCTTAGTCATTACATTTATACTTTGTAAACCATTGCTTAATCCGTATAAAACACAACTTCCAGTTCTTTTCCCATGTATTTCTTCTGTTCTTTTTCTTCTCTCTCGGAAATCTAAGTTGCCAACACCTTTGCGCTGTGTAAATCATGCTTAATCGATACGTTTGCTATTGTTTATGATCCTTTGCATGTAGTTTAGCTACTAGTCAATAGAAGGCTTTTGCTTTGTTATATGCTAATATCAGTGACTAATCATAGAAGTAAACGAGTTCTAGGAAGAAATGGGTTATAGTTAGTGGATTGCACAAACTTAACCTAGAAGCCCTTGTGGTAATCACTTCCTCGACGGTTTTCCAGTTTCTTGAAGTTTTACCTATTCTTTTCCGCACTTCTTGTTTGTCTAGATGCGCAGTGGCACAATAGAGAAGATGTGAGGAAATCATTGGCTGTTGCAGAATACAAGAAGGCACAAAGAACGACTGCGGCAAAAGTAGTTCAGATGTGCAAAGGAGTTGAGAAGGGGCAGAGTTTGTCCGCAGATTTTAACGTCGAGAGCGGGGAGCTGGCTCCCATGTTCTTCCCTGGGCCATTTGCAATCGCGCATCACCTCATCTCCACCTGGGCTTATCAAGATGTACCGACTGATGGTGTTGAAGCTGATTTGAAACAGCTCAGCAGTTCCATTCCAAATCTATAGAATTCTTATTCACCAAAAGACTAGAAACTCTGCATCTTCTACTATAAATATATCAATAATAATTCAAGAATATGAATGGAAGCAATTCCCCTTTTTTACTTTTAGGGTATTGCTGTATAAAGCTTGCCTTGTGTTTGGTGTAATCAACATTTGGATTCAATGCTCAACTAAAGATTCATTTATGTGCATTTTCTAGCTTGCATCATTACATAAAGATTGTTCCAAGCTCTATATTTTGAGTGATTTATGGACAATGTAAAAAGAAAGATATAAAAGTTGGATACCAGGTTAAATCCCCTCGTAGCACAACATTTATTTGAGGTAATTATTTTATAATAAATTTATGCATAATTCGCTATTCAGTCTGAATTAATAGAGTAATTAATAAATAATTTAATTTGTATTAATTGGTTAATAGGTCTCATGCATATTTGTAAGCACGGGCTTTTCAAGTGATGGCCCAAGCAATAAACATATATATACTCTCTCTGTCTCTCACTCGCAGGCACTTCCTACACCACTGTCTGTTTTGATTTTGGTTTCTGTTCGCCAAGAAGTGCTGTTTCTGTCAGCCTTTTATTCTTTACATTTTTCATTTTCATGAAAAGCATAGAATATAAAGATGAAATGGAGGAAGAATTGGTGAAAGTCAACACCGATTGCGTTTATTTCTTAGCCTCTCCTCTCACTTGCAAGAAGGTATTGATTTTCTCTTTCTCTTTTGGTCGAACTGAGTCTGTTTCTCTTTCACGCTGGGATTTTCAGCTCGTATTGTGCTTTTTTTTAATGTTTTTGACACTGCATCTCAAATCTGGATATTTAGGATTAATTTTGAACCCTAACCATCTAGTTTTCTTTCTTTCTTTCTTTTTTAATTGATTAGAGATAGAATTTATTTTCTTTTGTTTGCGTACTTTTACTTGCAAATTGTGAAGCATTTCTCTTTGTTGGAATTTAAAGATTTTATAATTTATTTAACTGATTGTAGTTGTTTCGTTTCAAATTGTTTCAACTGGTTTTTGAGAAGTGAAAAAACATTGATGATGCCAAATGTATATAAGCAGCTCGTGGTATATAAACTTTTTTCCTGGGTTCAATCTGTTTGGGTTTTATGTACTGGTTTTCTCATTGATGTGATACCCTACTCTTAACTTGTTTGATCTTCTTGTTTGGCTCTCTTTCAATCAGGGAGTTGATTGTGAGTATAGACATAGTGAAATCGTCAGGCTCAACCCGAGGGACTGCTGGTACTGGTTGGATGGAAATTGTATTAACCCGACATGTGGTTTTCGGCATCCTGTGAGCTTGGATTCTTTTTAATAAGTTCATATCGATTATTGGACTGATATATTGTGAATGAATTAGATTTTTTACATGTTTTGGGGATTTCACAATTGAATCTAGCATGAATTGCGCTTTAGAACACAATTCTGCATGCACACAATGCGAAAGGTGTAGCAATGGATAGTATATTTGGAGCAGTTACTTGATATGTTGTCTGGACATCGCCTTCATTTCTGGCATATATATGGTTGTTGTAGTTTTCTCTACGTTACCCTAAACTCGCCTATACATTTACAATGTCTTTTATTGCTGACATGCCATGACTTTACAAGAATTATAGGGTCATATGATTTTAGCTAAACTATCTGCTTTAGATTCTCATAATGTTTGGCTTTCTGGTAACATTAAACTTGGAGCTTTAGAAGCAATTAGATATTAAAAGGGTAGGCCATAAATGCACTCACAATTTTTACTGGTGTATTTGGCATCTAATGTATGTCTTAAACAAATCATTTGATGCATTAGCTTTTGAAGTGACTATGATGGAACCACTTTCCTTTTAAGTCCTTTTTGATTGAGTAATTAATCGATACTCTTGGCTTATTTAATTATTGCTTGGCTGTTTGATGTAGTAATATGAACTAAAACCCTTACCGTTTTCGCAGCCGTTGGATGTGCATGCTCAAGTTCCGTCTGATTCTACTGTATTTCCGTACCAATGTTCGGCAGCTCCGAACAAGACAAATTTACCTTGTTACTTTTACTTCAATAGTTTCTGCAACAAAGGTGAAAGATGCCCTTTCCTGCATGGTCCCAGTGACAGTGCCATTACCGGAAGTTCTTTGAAGACTGGTGTTCCTCCATTGGACCGTAAGACATCCGTAGAAAATGATGGTGGAGCAGCTCAGACAGACATTGCCCCAAATTCTAAAACTGGTGTGCAGGTTAAAACTGATTCTAAAACTGCCCCAAATTCTGTTAAGGACACTGGTGTGCAGCTTAAAGTGGACGTCCAACAATCAGTGCCCAAAACTATGATAAAGAAGAGTGTCTCTCCAAAAACGTCTGTTTTTGAATTAGGACAAGCTGGTTTTGTTAGGTCACAATCCTTGCTTCTAAAAGAAGGCACTACTCAAGCCAGATCTCCAATTTGCACAGATGAAAGTTCAGAGGAGCAATTGGATGATCATATTGAGCCAGAGGAGAGGTGGGAGTCCTCCCCAGGTTTCGATGTTCTTGTGGATAACAAATCAGATGATTTGGATTACGAGAATGATTCAGATTATCCGCTGGAACCTGAAGGGGAGCAGAGAGAGTACTTTAGTTATGATTATGAAGATTCAATTCAGCATGATGTAGAATTTTCATACGATCGAGATGTGTATAATGCTTATGAGGGTTCAGACAATGAGTACATTTTTGATAATGCGAGGAATCCTTCTGCCCACCTCAGAGATAGAAGGTTGGGTTCCATATTTCCCCAAAAGAGAAGACTGTTGCCTGTTGAACTGTCAGTTGATGTGGATCTTAGAGAATATTTGAGTTCCCGCAGGGTAGTCGAGGGTAATCCTCTTAAGTGTCTGTCAAGGTCTGAATATTCTCATCTGATCAATCAAAGTCTGGAAAGGCCACAGAGGCGTAGTGTGGGTCGGAAATCAAGTAGAAGATTGGAATCAAAAGTGGGGAAGCACTCTACTGAATCAACGGGAGGCCAAGGTGGTGTTTGCAATGGTACAAACCGGCGTGGGTGGGTCAAGTGCCTGGAGCCTAATCGCTCCATCAAGCGGCCTTATAGGGAAAAAAGACTACCTAGACGGGAATCTATTCAATCTAAGGTTTATAGAAATCTGGTTTCAAGGGAGAGGAAATCCAAAGATGCGTCTACTGCTTTTACAGGTCCCAAGACCCTTGCCCAGATTAGAGAAGAGAAGAGGAAAACTGAAGAAAGCGGTGGAAAAACGAGGCATTTTATCCTACCTGCATCAACAGACTTCCAGGGTCCAAAACCATTGAGTGAAATCCTCAAGGACAAGGAGAGGCTAGCGAAGTAACAAACTTCTTAAGTTGATTCGAGTTAAGGTCCTTAGCTTTTTCCTTTTTTACAAAAAAAAAAGAGTTATCTTTGTATTTTTCTTTAGATTCAACCTCAAGGCATATTCTCTGAAGTTTTGAAAATGTTGGTCCCTACTCTTATTACCGGTGAACATGATGAGAACTCTTAAGGTCTCAACGTACAAGACGATGAAGTGTTGGAGTCTTTCGATATCACCGAGAAAAGAGCTCCACCTGGAACAGGCAAGTGTTAGGCATACCTATCGACTATCTTAGGCTTTCATCAGCATGAAGCTTGCCCTGTTTTCTTGATTAGAGTTTTCTATGAACACTCAAGGTCTCTGTATGCTTTACCTTAAGCGTGTATTGTTTTCCATTGGTCTTCTGATTCAATGATACTCGAATATGTGATCCACAGGAAATACCAAAATCTTTGTATCAAATCAAGACTATTATATAGGAATATCAACAGAAGGAATCAAAATACCTTCCCTATAATTCTGATATAGGTTTGGTTAGATCCGGTAATATGGTACACAATACGATTATACATTCTATTGTTAAACACGAATGAAAAGCTCGTTGCTCGTTCTTACTGTTCTGATAGGTGGCACCCGATTTTCAAAGAGGGATAAACGTTGTCTTCAACTCTGGAGCTATTGCGGATGTTGTCTTCGACTCTGGAGCTGCCGGATAAACGGCTTAGATAAAGTAATTATTATGTTACATTTAATTAATAGTAATCATTCAAAAGGAAATTGTTATGATATGGTTAATTGAGAAACCTGGCCAGTTGGTAGCACCAGGCCCAATTCAACCCTATTAAAACAGAGCTCATGGGATATCTGCTGTGTTATGGTTTAGGGTTTTAGGGGGTTTAGTGTTTGAGTAGCAAAAATCTAAAATATGGAAGAAATCACTCAAACAATCAACAACTTCAACTTGGCGAACGATCCCCACAAGAAGAGCCGGATTCAAGTATCCAATACCCAAAAGCCCTTGTTTTTCTACGTTAATCTCGCCAAGGTTTCCCTTCTTTTCTTCTCTGTGAGAATAAAGTGTTGCATTTGACTAACCCCAGTATTTTTTTTAATTTTTTTGGTGGGTTTTAGTTTTTTTTATTCGATTTGAGCATTTTTAACTATTAGGGGATCTAGGGGTTTAGCTTTTAGGATCGATTAAGAAGCTTACTTTTGTTAATTTATTACATTCATAAGATGGCCATTTTCCTCCTCTCATATTGTTTGCAGAGATATATGCAACAGTACAATGAGGTGGAGTTGTCTGCACTTGGGATGGGTACGATTGACGTCTTCAAACCTCTGCATTTGTTAATTTCAATTTGACCTCATTTCCACTGAAACTGTTGACCTATATAAACTGTACAACATTGAAGCTTTGTGGTTCAGTTTTTAGTATTCTTCCTTATAGATGTTGCCCTGAAGGTGCCGGTGCCGGATATTTCTGACACCCTTGCTTTGACTTGGGATTTATCGATAGGTTGTTTGTATTAAACTTGTTTATGTGAGGAGATTGTGGATTAATATGTGGCAAAGCTTCAAGTTTACGATACAAAAGGTTCCAAATGTTTATTGGAATTCTAGCCCTTTACGTTGCCGATACCATCTCTTAAGGATGGCTATATGAACCGATTTATGCTCTAGGTTCCATGTCTTAAAGCCTTTTCTCTAGTGCAAAGTGGTTGTAGCTTGATTTTGTTGGTTAAGTTATAGAAACATTTTTGAGAATTGTGGTAAATCGTTCTTTTTTATTGATCGTTTCATGTATGCAGCTATTGCCGCTGTCGTCACGACTGCGGAAATTCTAAAAAACAACGGTTTGGCTGTTGAGAAGAGTAAGCGGTCGTCCACTTTTATTATCTTTCATTTATATACATTTTGAAACACATACACGTATTAATGTAATCATTGAATCCTGACAATGCACTTCTGTAGGGATCACTACCACAACCGTCGACATGCAGGACGACTCTCGAGGGCTTCCGGTCCAAAAAGCAAAGGTAATATCAACTTTATAGTATACTCTTCTCGCTTCCTTCTGTATCTGCCATGATACATATTTGTAAGGTGAGAACCATTTGCTCTCTCCTTATAATGATAAACTAGGGAAACCAGTATCGGATTTTCGCATACTTATCGTTCCATGTTATTGAGTTTGGATAATATATGCATGTATAAATGGGTTCTATGTTGTTTCTCAGATTGAGATATTGTTGGGAAAGACCAGAAACTTCGATGAATTAATGGCGGCTGCTTCTGAAGAAAGAGATGGTGTAGATGGAGGAGGGCAGGGTTGATACCATGTTGGTATCATTGTGGAGCCTGCCTTGGTGAAGACAGTTATGTTTAACCTTCTTTCCATGTTGTAGTCAAATGTTTGTTCCTTCATAAAGAAAAGTTCCAATCAATCTAATTTCTTTTAGAAGAAAAAACTCTTATTCGAACTTGAACCAAACTAGTTTAAGTTTCAACCAATTATGGTACGAACTTTTTTATTTCCTTGCTTAGACTAAAATTTAGTTTGACTCGATTTGGATTTTTTTTATATTGATATGTAATTAAATTTATGTAAGGAACTTTTTATTGCTTAATAATACAAGTTGACTTTAACTATAGAAATCTCTTATTCAAGTTTCGTGCTATCCCTTGAAGTCTTGAGTTCGAGCACTACAAATGCAAGGGGTATGAGTGTTCATTGTGAAATAGTTAAGAATATCTGAATAGATATTACTTTGTATTTATTCAAAATTTATATATAAAAGAAAAACACAATATCCAACTTTTGAATAAAATTATTAATTTTTTATTCAACTCTTAAATCAAAAAATTAAATTAGTTAAATTTTTAATTAAAAATTTGAATTATTTTATTGGGACTAATTTTAACAATTAAATCTTTATTTTTTGGAAATATTATTGTTACAAAGTAAAGTTTTGAAGTTTTATTTAAAAAATTAATAATATTTTGAAATTAATATTTATCAATTTCGTAATGTGACATTTGATATTAATTAATTTAAAATTTATTAAATTTAACGATCAATATTGAAAAAATTGATTAAATTTCAAAATATAATAATTCAATTAAATGAAAAAAATAAAAGTTTAATTAGTTTTGTTAAAGATTTTTCTACCTTCCTAAACTAAAAAATACATTTCAGTATTTTTTTTATTTAAACTAACTGACAACATTATGAAGATATATATTAAACTAAATCAAATAAAAATTAAGATATTAAAATCTTAAATTTAAATTTAATGAAAGGATGAAAATCAAAATTTGAGTTTATAATAAAAATCGGATCCAATTCCAAGTCACCCACCCGACTTGACCCAAATTAGTTTGGTTGGCATAGAAAATATGAGAAGTTCACGTAGGGATGTAAAATCAGATAATCGTTCATGTTTTAGTCGGATCCTGTCAGGTCGGGTAAAATCGGATACATGTCAAGTCAGGTCAATTTGATGCTTCGACTCGAATCAGGTCGGGTCCAGGTCAAATCAAGTCGGGTCATTTTCATGTTGATTTGACACATGGTTCAGTTCGAGTTCAGGTCAGGTTACTTTTAGTTCAAATCGATATCAGCTCAAGTCAAAACAGTTTAGGTCCGGAGCAGTTAAAGACCAGGTTAATTCAGGTTCGGATGGACTTCAGGCGGATCTCGTTCAGATTGGGTCACATCATTAGCAGATAAAATTCAGGTCGGATCTTTATCAGATACAGATTGAGTTCAGATCAGGTCAATTTTTATTTTTGGATTAATTATTTTTCATCTTTCGCAAACGTTGAATTGCAATTTGTAATTTTATACGATTTAGAGTAAATTACTAAAAATATAAATAATCATGATCAATTTTATGAAAAAAATAAATTTAAGGACTAAATTGAATAAATATGAAATTACAAATAAAAAATTAAATAAATTAAACAACATGCATTGATGAGGGACCAAATTGAAATAATTTTAAAATTTGAGGTTGAAATTAATATAGAAAATGACTAAATTATACCCATTTAAAAAGTTATGGACTAATTACAAAAATATAAATAAGAAATAAGAATGGGCCAAATTTAGATGCAACTATAAATTTAATGACTAAATTGAATAAATATGAAAATGAACGAATTAAAATTTAACTAAAGTAAAAACACAAAAGGATGAAATCAAAATAATTGTAAAATGTGAAGCAAATCTGAAAAATAGAGTAAATCACATTCATTTAAAAAATTTAAAAAATTAAAAAAATATAATATATATAGTATATATTAATATAATATATATAAACTATATAATTCATTAGTATATATAAATTATATATTAATTTATTAATAATATATATATATATATATATATATTAATTTATTAATATAAACATTTATATTAATTGAAAGAATTAGAAAATATATAAGGATTAAATTGAACAAATTTAAAATATGAAGCTCAAATTAATAAATCGCATCATTAAATTTAGACTAAATTGAACAAATTTAAAACTATGGTACAACGCTCAATGCCAAATAAAGTTAAAAAACACGAAGGCTAAAACCCAAATCCGAATTTGAATTGGACTCGTATATAAGCTAATTTTTTTACAATTTCAGCTATTTTCCTTTTTTTCTCATTTTATTTTGCTTTCTTTCTAACTCTCTGATTCTCTCAAAATTATATGACTTCTCTCAAGAAATTCACCAGTGTTCATCCTTTGTTCATTTGTGTTCATCCCTAAAACCCTCATTTGATCTTCCCAAACACCAAAACCCAAACCATTTCCTTTTTTTTATATCAAACACCCAAAATTTAAACAATTTTTCATATGTGTTTATCCCAAAAAATCTCATTTGATCTTCACAAACACCAAAACCGAAAGCAATTCATGTTTTTTGATCAAACACCAAAAAATTCAACCATTGTTCATCTGTGTTCATCCATGTTATTCCCCAAACCATTCTTTGATCCTTACAAACACCCAAAACTTAAAACCAACTTATTTTTTTGATCAAACCCCAAACCCAAACACCAATTCATCTTATTTAACCCCCAAACCCAAATCAAACCTCTTCATCTTCTATCTCTTTTCTCTAACCCTAACCCTTAGTGTTCATTATCATCTTCTTCTTTTATATATATTTTTTAACCCTAATCGATATTGTTTATCATCTTCTTCCTCTATCTATGTTCATCTTCTTTAACCCCAAACCTAAAACGAGTCTCTTCATTTTTATCTATGTTCATCTTTTCTAACCCTAACCCTTATTGTTCATCATCATCTTTTTCTTCTTTTATACATATTCTCTAACCCTAACCAATATTGTTCATCTTCTTATTTTATCTCTGTTTATCTTCTCTAACCCCAAACCCAAACTGAGCCTCTTCATATTCTCTAACCTTAACCCTTACTGTTCATCATCATCATCATCTTCTTTTGTACATCTTCTCTAACCCTAACTGATATTGTTCATCAACATCTTCCTCTGTCTTTGTTCATTTTTTATAACCCTAAATCAAACAAGACTATTATAAACTATTCGAAACCTTTAATTTTTTTCTAAGGTTTCATGGAAGTTTGTCTTACGAGTTGAATTATCCATGTGTTTTTCATTCTTTTTTTATTTTTTATTTTTATTTTAATAATTGAATTAATATATTCTTCATTTGTTTTGTAGGAGAAACCCCAACATATCATAATGAAGAACATTCTGAAAGAGGTAAACTGCCTATTCTTGTTTTTATATATGCTTAAAATTTTAATTTTGTATACTAACCCTATTTTTTTTTTACAAGGTGATGTAAATGATCTACTATTCGAAGCAGTTGATGTCAATAAATCCTCTAAGAAGAAGGCTACATGCTTAGCCTAGTTCAGGAGAATAACTTCTCCTGTTTGGGAGCATTACACCTTCATCAAATCTATCGATGGTTCCGTTTATGTCGAATGTAAGTATTGCAAAATTAAAAGATATAAAGTTGATTCTTATATTGGTACATCTAACCCTAGAAGGCATACTGATAAATGTCAATCTTAAAATGAATATCTTACTGAAAATCATGTTTTGGTAAGTTCTTTTGATCAAAACAAATATTATGAATTGTTTACTGAGGCTATTTTGTATCATGGTTATGCATATATTATTGTTGAACATGAAAAACTTAGGGATTTGTATCATTACCTTAATTATTCTGTTAAGGATATATCTAGGTATATTGTTACTAAGTATTGCATGTTGGAGCATGAAAACATAAAAAATTGCTACTCAATTCAATGCATTCTATTTCAAGTCGTGTTTGTTTTACATGTGATGGTTGTTCTGCCTGCACTTCACGTTCTTATTTTGCTCTTACTACTCATTATGTTGGTAATAACTGGAAACTTCAGTCTAAAATACTTAATTTTTGTCGTTTCCTCCTCCTCATGATGGTGAGCCAATCTTTAAGTTTGTTAAAAAGATTATATGTGAGTGGGTCTTGAAAAAAAACATTTACCATTACACTTGATAATGCTTATGCAAATAATAAAATGGTTAAGAGACTGAAAGATGATTTGAATGTCATTTATCATATTTCCTGCAATGGTAAGTACTTTCATATAAGGTGTGTTGCCCACATTTTGAACTTGATAGTTCAAAAAGGTTTTAAGGTAATTGATTCTTCTGCTATTAAATTGCGTGAGATTGCTAAGTTTATTGATTCTTATTTCTCTGGTAAGTTAGTATTGGATGTTCCTACTCGATGAAATTTTACTTACTTGATGATTCATAGGCAGTTAAGGCTAGATTAGCAATTAACTTGTTTGTTAATAGGGAAAATAAGTTGGATATCGTTACTGATAATGAGTGAGAAATTGTTCAAACAATATCTGATTTTCTTGAGCTTTTTTTTTTATGAAATCACTACTATGTTCTTTGGTTTTAAGTATCTCACTTATAACTTGTATTTGGCTATCGTTGTTGCAATTGAAAAATTGTTGTGTAATGCTCATAATGATCCTTGTGAAGGTATTTCTGCAATGACATGACCCATGCTTGAACTATATGAGAAATATTGGTCTGATCACTCAATGATTCTATCTTTTGTTGTTTTACTTGATCCTCAATATAAATTACAACTACTGAAGGAGTTGTACAATGTTCTTTATATTGAGGATGAGGTTCAACGGAGGGTAAGTCTCATTTATAATGAGTTTCTTGAGTTATATGTATTTTTTTTAAAAATGCACCTTGTGGTTCTTCATCTTCTTCTTTTATCCAAAGTAACACATCCTTAGACAGAAGTGACTTAAGTTCCAATCAGCCTCGAACATTTAGAAAAACATATCTATTTCAGGTTAGTTATTACAATTTCGAGTTGAATTTTATCTTATTTATTTCCTGTTTTCATTTACTAATTTTTGTCTTTTATTTTTCAGAATTTGATGTAAATTTAGTTGCTTCGGACGATCACATGCTGACTCTT